AAAAAAAATAAATATGCTCTTCTAGTTTGGGGATGCGGCAACTTTTACTAAGAATTTCTTTCTTTTTGAGAAGCCACTGAAAAAAGTTTCTAAAATGGATTACGAATTTTGCCATTCATCGTACAAATAAAAATATCACAAAACAATATCAGAAGCATTAAAAAAAAGCTACACATTTTATATATTGTTCAAATAATACGCTTCTGAAATGAAAATTTTCTAATGTTGAGACCATCATGAATATGGTAACAATGACGAACTGATAATTAGAAAAAGTTAGTTATGATTATGAATCTTGAAATGGTAGATACATGAAAAACAAATAACATTACTGAAAAATAATATAAAGTTATAATTTCTTCTACGCATGGTCAATATTACATATATCCTTTTAATAATAATAAATATACAGCAGAAATAAGGATACAAAATGATATCTTGACAAAGTAAATATCTGTAGGTACCTATACCTAAACTCTTTTATTTAAGCATGCCTATACACATAAACATTTGTACAAAATATAAAATAAATGACGTCTATTTCACTGAATTCATCCATAATTCAAATAATTCTCACTGACTAAGTAGTTGCTCTTCAAATTATATCGAAACGTATAGTTGTTGTTCCATTTTCTTAGTTCTTGTCCCTTGTCCTCTTGTCTGTAATAGGTAGTGGGTATAATTATATTTAGGTAGATGTGATGCAAAATTGGAAATCTCTACACATATCGTTTTAAACATTTTGCATCAATATTCATTATTTTATATGCACCTTACAATAACCACAACTGCACACACTACAAATTATCACATAAAATAGTGTCAAAGTAAAGATGAATAACAACGAAACCAAGCAAACTGACAAACCGCAAACCTAACCTAACATAATACGAATTGAAACGACTCACGGGAAACAAATAAACTTGGGCTGTTACGCGCAGTCTACGCAAGTCACGAACATACATTTTTTCTAGACTTGTGTTATAAATATGCCACCACATTTTTTTTTCTAATTATGTATATATAAACAAAGGCAAATGAACTAACGCTTGAGAAGGATCGGGGATTGAGAGCAAAATTTAACTAATGCCGATTGTTCCATAAGATAAGCAAAAATAGCAAAGGGTTGTTCGTCTGTTATGTTTCCGAGATCGAAAGGTAATGTTTCGAGTAATATTTCAAACTCTCTTCAATTGTAACGTTTCGGCTATGTTTTCTCTAAATAAGTTTTCAAGTGCTACATTTCTGTAATGAAACAGAAACGTTTCTAGTTAATGTTTCAAATGTTTAGTAAAACATCTCATTTGCAACGTTTCATTTACGTTTCGTGTTTAGTGGGTTACCAATAAAACATTGATTTTTTCTTCTTATTTCTCTTGTAACAGCACAAGAACAATCATTACTTTTTATAAAATAAGAAAGTAATGTGTTTTCCTCTCGGAATATAGCCCAATAACGTCGAATTAAAATTAATTTTGGATACACTAGATACCAAGTCCATACTATCCGTCCAAATAAGTTACAATATCTGGTAACCCAGGCTCCAAATCAAAATCTTGCAAGAATAAGAAAAGTTAGAATAAAAGCCACTCTATCTAAGAAAATATAATGTTTTTACCATAGGCGTGCGTATGAAAAAGTTGGGGGGTCATAATGCTCTTTAACCCCCTCACCTCCGCTCGTGCTTTGATTTTTTTTACCAAAAGTATACTGAAAGTGTGTCTCTACAAGAAAAAAATATTAGCGAAATTTCAAACAAATATCTCTANCCGCTCGTGCTTTGATTTTTTTTACCAAAAGTATACTGAAAGTGTGTCTCTACAAGAAAAAAATATTAGCGAAATTTCAAACAAATATCTCTAATTCTACCGGAGTTATCGACAAATTTCGTTTTTGAAATTTACATTTTGACACCCTGTATTTCAAAAATGGGTCTCCTAAATGAAAAGCATAAGCATAAAAGCATAATGAAAGTCCCATTATTTTCATATCAGCTATCTATGGTTAACGGATTGACCTACTAATTTTCGGCACCCTGTATATATGACTCACTTTTTCAATAAAAAATAATGACCTAGGAAGGTACAATAATTATATTCTTATTGTAATTCATTTTAAAAACAAACTTGAATAACCCTAGAAATGAGTAAAGATTCAAATATCAAAATATTAAAGGCGAATTTTCTATGCGATAATGCGATGATTCTACACAACATAAATGTGAATTTTGTCGACCATTCCCTGCCACAAACTACAAAAGTAGGATCCGTGGTGGATACTATATTTTTAAAATCAAGTCTGAGTAAAAACTTAATTGTTTTAAAATTAACTAATACATCTCTCACTTTAGATTTTGAACATGTGCAAAATTCCATACCACATTAATTTTATCGGCAAACTGCTAATGATAGGGATATTTTAATTTATTTTTTTTTATGTTGGTAATGCAATATTTAGATAATGACAAATGACAGTATGGAACGTGAAAACTTAACCCTTTAGTGGTAAATTTTATAAAATAATGTTGATTATAGAGTGTTTATTATTAAAGTAATGGATTTAAACTATGCATAAGAATTTGAGGAAGTCCTAGTAACAGATATGAGTGACGTGGTGAGAGTTAATTATTTCTTTATAAGTGCTTATGCTAGAATCTTTGTACCGATAGCTACTGCATACTTTTTATTTTGGTTAATGAACTTATGTAATTTTTACTTGTTTTTCATCATTGTAAGGGACTTATTTACTTATGCGTCCATTCGCAGTGTTGAAATTGTCAGTAGAACAATATCATTTCGTGTATTACAGGAAAATATTGAATTTCTGGATTTGAGCGATGTCGATGAAAAGGAGCAAATTAGAGTTAGAGCTTCTCTACTACAAACAGATTCAAGTGTGCAATTACCTTGGATAAAAAATGATCAGAAAACGTCCCTAGGTAAGTTATTATTTTGATATATAATACACTAGGTTTCTTGTTTTCTCAAAACAGTTAGAAATCACAGCGTAAGTGGTATTAGAGTTGTTTTTGAATTAAAAATTTGTTGATTAGATTTATTAAATCTTAATCTTCTTTGAAAAAAGTTCTAATTTTAAAGGTTTAACAAATTTATGTTTTCAAAAAATACATATGACATTCTCTTAACATTACATTCATATTAACATAGATACTCCTGGCTCAAAAATAGTAATAATTTATATAATGCATTAGTAAAAACAATGTTGTAATATTGTGTAGGTATTTAATATAAAGTTTTTGGCAACAGGTATAAAACGAGGAAAAAGAAAGGAAAATATCCAACATAATGACTCTGCATCTACAAATCGAGAATACATTTACCCAGCAGTGCCTGTTACACCAGTGGTAAATAATGTATATCAAGAGCATCGTTTTCACCAGACTGCAATGGTCATACCACCACTAGTCACTAACTATGGTGGTCTTCAGTCTAACTCCATCTATTATGCCAAGACCCTTTCGACTGTTTCATCTAATTACCCCCAGCAAGTCTATGTCATTCCTCAGAGTACTGTTAATAATGTGATCCATAATAATTATCCATACACGGTTACAAATCCAGTCCACATACGTAATACCATTACCGACTCGCATATTACCACCACACCACCAGTTATACAGCATCAGAACAACGGCAATGGACAAATCCCTCAAATAACAGAATGCAATGCATCTTCTAAAAATTACTCTTCTGGGCATCCAGCTGTAATCGACAACAGTTCTATTCAAAATTCGGCAACCGTCATTCAAAACACTCCTGAAGAAATATATTCCCAACCGTCTGGATCATCGAATGTGGTTGAAAATGGTGCTAAAAGTAATTCTGTTAAAGAGAGTACAAGCAATTTATCCCCAGCAAATAAGTCGTGGGCAAGTCTTTTTGCTTCAAATAAATCGATTAATGACGTCAACAATCAGATTCTTGAAGCAGGAACGGAAAAACCTTTAGCTGACAAGACAATGAACAAAGAGTTTAATAATAATGAGCCTTTTTGTCCCATCAAGCATCCAAGAAGGACACAATTTATTGATCCTGATTGTTATAGAATGGGAGGTAAGTTTTGTGGTTTGTTATTACTGCTCTACTTATTTATTAATAATTTATCGTTAAATGTTTAGATATTATTATGTTTTTAAATGATTTCAGAATATTTAACTAATTACTCTGTAGATGGCAGAGCAGTAAGTTTACAGCCAAGGGGTTTGATAAATCAGAGTAATTATTGCTACATCAATTCAATACTTCAGGCTCTGATTGCTTGTCCTCCCTTATATAATTTATTATGGGGCTTGTCTCAGAATATTTCGTCAAACGAGAAGAGAAAACCCACCCCCGTCATTGATGGAGTGTAAGTTTTTCATATTCAAAAATACAAATCATGTTGAGTTTAGTAAAAAATTGTATTAAATTATTTATTTCATGTGTTTGTACTGTTCAAGGTAGGCGAATTTCAAAATTTTTGAGGGGTTTCTCGGTATTTTCTGAACAGATAGATAAAACCTAGTCAAAATGTCTAGTCCGAAATCATTTGGATTAAGGTTATACTGTACCTTAAAAAAATGTGGCTTATCTTGTATATTTAAAAAAAAACAATTTTATTTTCAAACTAAAATAAAGAATTGAAATTTTGCTGGAGGGTAAAAAAAGACATATTTATTGTATCTTTAGGTGTCGATTCGTGAAAGAATTCAAACATTTACCTGCAAATATGAGAGTGAGCAACAGAAGATCTGACGGAAAAGTTCAGAAAAAAGATCAAGGTGTACTGATAAACACCGATATACCTTTTGAACCGTCTTGGATTTATAAGATGTTAAATGGAATAAGGAGCGATCTAATTGAAGGCAGGCAAGAAGATGCTGAAGAATTTCTTGGCTGTCTACTAAATGGCTTAAACGATGAAATGCTTGAGGTAACTGTAGTTTCATAGAAACGTTAAAATTTCTAAACCGAAACCACAAGATATGTGTATGAATTTTAAATTTTATAGGCTGTAAAACAAGATTCAAATGTATATGTGATATTTGAATTTTTGCAAGAATTTTAATATTATTCGTATTTTGAAATTGACTATTGTAACAATTATATTGTTACAATAGCCAATTTCGAAATGTGAATAATATTGATATATTTATATTTTCATTTCAGCTGATAAAATTGGTGAAAAATGACTGTGATGAATCTTATCAAAATGCAAACAGTTCCGAAACTGAAACTGACCTAGATAAAGAATGGCAGGTAAAAATAAATTGTGTATGTAGGTGTCGGGCTATTTATAATTGTGTTTTGTTTGTTTATTTGGTTCAAAAATTAGAGTGGAAAACCGGAAACAAGAATATAACAATGTTTGTTGTATCAATATAAGATGTTTCAAATAATTAAAGACCTGTTTTTAAATATTTGTAACATTCGTGAATGTTTTTATACTACGGTTTTTCTATAGTTCCTGGCTGTTATTTGAGCAATACTTACAAGTTTGCGGGGTGTATTCGAATATGGAAAACTGGGAAACTCTGGAACATTTCTTTAATTTTCAGGGAGTTCTTTAAAATTGCAATTGTCTAAATAGATTTTTATCACCAAAATTAACAAAAAAAATCCTTCAAAAACATAGGAAATGTTAGCTAAATTCAACCTGTTTGATAGGATCTAATCAAAATCTATTTTTATTTTACTTCAAAGTAATCAATCAAAAAAAATAAATAAAAATTGAAAAATGACAAAAAATTGGGAAATGATGCTTATTGAAAAATGGAAACTTATCTGGGAAATTTCTCAATTCTATCTGGAAAATCTAGAAATATGAGAATTTTTTTTTCAAATTTGGTAAATATCCATTGATTTGTTATAGTTGTTACGATTTCAGTTGGAACCCGTGAATCTTAAAGCACAGGGCCGTCTGCACTTCTCTTTAAATTTATTCCTATGTTTAGGCCCTGATCTGCCTCGTAATTTATACCCGAATATCAATTCGGTGAGTCCGGTATTGGTAGACCAATCCGTCTGATGTAGAATCGACAGTCGTCAAAGCAAACCTGTATTGGTCCACTAGGTCGTAAATAATTTTTTGTATGGTATTTTGTGGTTTGATATCGAGCGCAGTTCACTTGGCAGCGCAGTGCAGAGCAGTGCTTGGCGTGGTATGTTGGTATAATAAGTATTATTATTTATTAATTGATATTATTTGTTAATACCGTAACCAGTAAAGGGTAATCGTTATTAAAATAAATATGATATGAAATTATCTAGTAATTTAGCATGGCTTTCTTTGAAACGGAAGATATTCGAAATAACTCGGGAAAATACCCAAATAGTCGAAGCGGTTTTTGTCGAAAGCGTTGAAACAAACTCAGAGTTTAAAAACAAAGATTTACATGTACAAAGTCACTTGTGATAAAGAAATTAGGAAACAGATTAACGAATTAACTAAGATATTAAAAACGACAATTTATCGTGTAATTAAAGGAGACGTTATTAATCATGGTACAAAGAAGAAACGGAAAAATACAAAATTAAAGAATATTGATGATTTTACCAGAGATGTAATACGACGCACAATTTATAATATGTATAAAGAATATAATGTTCCTACTATAAATATGATTCAAGATAAATTAATTTATTATCCTGACTATAATAATTATAGTTTTTCCGATATCAATTGAAGAACCACGAGATTGACAGTACATACCAGATTCGGTCGCTGACGCAGCAATTCGGCTTTGAAATATTTGAAAAACTTGATCCCATATTTATTTAGCCATATCCATATGCAGGTCTGGTCGAACTAAACATGGAGGTGGTAGAAATATATATGCCCTGTTGAAGAATGCGAGCGTGGGCAAAGGAAAACAAGCACAGCTGCATTGGGCTACTGGGCAATAAATCTCAGCAGTTGACAAGTGGTTCATAAATTGCCTAGCAGTGCAGTGAAGCAATGCTGAATTTGGTGTGATTCAGATAATTTTAATTGATTATGGGCACCTTCTATTGATCATTCATATTACAATTGCGAAAGGGAGAAATAAGAGGGATATTTTGTTTACTAATATTATCACAACATAGCACTTTGCAGACCTTTTGAAAAGAAACAAAACAAAATTTACCACCAATATAATAAAATTGTTTGAGGACATAAATAATTAAAATATGCTGTTGGCCAAATGAACATATAATAGAAATTCTCTACACATTATATACAAATTATTATAATTTTTTACCTTTAGCAGAAAACTTTTTTAGGGACACCTATGAAACTCATTAAATTTTATTGCCAGGCGTTTTTATACATGTTCAACTAACTTCAGAAAGACTATACTTTACATTAGAGATGGGCAATGGGAAATTTTCCATCCCGGAAAGTATCCAAAACGGAAATTTTCCGGGAAGAAATAATCGAAGCCTGAGAAATTTTCCCTAGAAAGTTTCTGGAAAAATTTCCATCAGAAATTTTCCGGGAATATTTCTAACAATTTGTATACTTGGAGCCAATTTTACTTCTAACTTCTGTGAATACAACCTCAAAAAATCGTTAGTTAATTTCGGTTTTCGGTTAATTCGGAATACCAGAAGACCATATTATCCAAATTAGTCAGAAAATACTTTCACTTACTTATTTTAATCTTTGTTAAGTCTACAATCTACAGAGATGAGCAATACAAGACCTAAATTGCCTCTCCCTTTTCAAATTTAAAATAAATTTTGGTAGTTGAACCAAAGTACAATTACGTTTTAAAACTAGTATAATTATTTAATGTATTTACTATTTATTTGTTAAAAAATAAAGATAAATTGCGTTTTGTATACCGTATAGTGTTTACGCACTGCAACCCGCAGCATGTAATTTTTATTAACCGATGATTAATATAATTTATATTTTTCAAATATTTATACCAACTTAAACAAAAATGTATAAGTATTTGGTCTTTTTGGAAAGCTGATGGTATGTAGAACGCAATACCAAATCCAAAAAAAAATTTTTGAAAATTTCCGGAAATTTAAATGGAAACTTTCCAGGAATTTTCATAGTTTGGGAATTTTCCCATCTCTACTTTACATCATATTTTATTACAATGCGATTTTAAACATAAAAAACTTGAAAATCGTATGGTAATTATGGAATCATGACATATAGCTGCACTTCGGAAAGATTATTTACAAAAAATTAGAGAATATCGCGAACTAAATAGGAATATAGTGTATCAAGACGAGACATAGTTTAACACACACGATATTGTAGAGTATGGTTGAGTAGTGGACAGTTCTCAAAATTGTGCTCTAAATGCTCTGTGTTCTAGAGGAAAATACGTCATAATACTTCATGCGGAAAATGAAAATGGCTTTATACTTAATTCGTTGTTGTCGGCCAAAAATATATCAAAGTCTTCTGCCGACTCGGTTCTTGCTGAACAATAACATATTCCATTATAAAATATGTTAACTTAAAACTAAAACCAAAGATTTAAGTACTTTTAAAAATTAAATCTAAAATTGGTGCAATATTTCAAATATGTTATTAGCTAAGTGGTAGTAAATCTAATTAAATATACATTTTTTCCACTTAAATACAGTCTCATTAATATAATATTAGAAACCTTATGGTATGATACTTATTTAATAAGAAATCTATCCCAAGAATTTACAAATAGCAAAATTCTTCTGAACGCCTATGGATTCCGTAGAATTTAAGTGTTAAGTGTGTTATTTGATGAGGAAATAAATTTTTTTCCAAATTTTCATCAATTTTCACTATTTTTCACAAGTTTTTTGAGGTTAGGAAAAAATTGTGACGGGATGGGCCAATTCTGACCCCAGATTCGTGTTCAGGAGGCCAAATTACTACGAAAAATATATGTCGCATAAAAAGTATACCCAACTTTTTTTTTGTGTGGCTGTTATCAAAAAAAAATTTTTAGATCACTGGTAAATATTGCTCAAAAACACAAATTTAAGAGAAATTGTCAAAAACATTAAAAAATAGTTAATTTTTTCTAATATGTTATACCAAAAAATTTGTTCTTGTTTATTAGAAACACACTGTACATTGGTATTACAGAAATTGATGTATTTGCGTTTCGGGTTATTCTGACAAAATCCATTTGCTATGTATTTTCAAAAAAAAAATCCTAATACTCTTTTAATGTTTGCACAAAAAAATAGACTATAGATTAATTACGTCTTAGGTAATGGGACCAAAAAATAAAGGAAGTGTTACAAGGAGAACCGAATTTGCTAAAACACCCATTAGTGACATATTTGGAGGATTTCTGAAGTCAAGGATCCATAGAACTGGAGATCATGTCACAGAAAATATACAGCCCTTCTTTACTCTGCAATTAAATATCGAAGTAAGTGTACATTTTATTTTACAAATATGTTTGTGGAAAAATACTAGTAGCAAACGGACTGTGCCATCATATAAAAGACAGTCTGTACTTAAAATGTTTCCTACTTCAATTTGCCATTAATTAATTTTTTTATAAACTTTTTTTATGTAAAAAAATACATATTTTTAGTTTTTTGTTTATACAACATAAAATAACGACGCAGTCTGAATGTTATAAAGAGACAATTTGTAGATAATCGAAATACAAATAAAACAAGACGTCGATTCGATCGTTGTAGAGCTGACCTGTGCACAAAAGTAGTGAATTATATGTACTTTAAGTGTACACTGTCGGACCATTAGTTTTTGGCACAATTGCAATTTGAATGCTCAAAAACGGCTGAGCGCGCGTACCTGGTCGAGTAGTGGGGGAGATTTGGGAGATGAGGGGCAGTGAATATACAGGGTGTCCCACCACGAATTCCATCGATGGATATCTGAGAAACCGCTCAAAGGATTTTTTTTTAAATTGTGGGACCTACCAGGTCAAAATATTTTCAAGGTCATCGTACTTCCGGTTATACCGGAAGTCGATACCAACTTTCTTATTTTAAATGGAACCCCCCATATACTATTGCATTTTTGGAAAGAGCATTTATTTTTAACCTTCAGGCTACCAAGATATTTTTTCAACGCAGACGACTAAGGGGGTACATTTGGTACCCCAGGTTTTTTTAGTTTTTGTGAAAAAAATCTACTTCATATGAAAAAAATACCAAAGGGTGATGAAATTTTATTCAATATAATTTTATTTTCAAGAAAAAACGAAGACTATAATAAACTTAAATCTATTTTAATTGCAACTATTGCAGTAATTGACTTTTTCCTGCTGACGCATGAGTTTTACAAAAAAAATTATTTCACTTTTGACAAAAAAGCCTACACTTCTTGTCAATTCTTCTTGGGCAATAATGACAGTGTCCAAATGTGCTTCCTGGGTTTGGTGGGATAGGTGCGTTTTCCTGATATAGCACTTGTCTCATAGCATCTACTACTCTTCTCGGTATACCTTGTAAATTTGTCATTCTTCTGGCTATATATGGTTTTATGAGGTCAAGTCCGATGTCGAGCAAAAAGAATCTCCTTTTGTCCGTTTGGTTTTCTTTCCAGTTTGGAAATTTCATTTTCCATAGTGCTTGTCTGTCCTGCCTCCACATCCAAATCAAATTTACGTTTCAGCATATCTAAGGATCGCAAATCTAAAGAAATGCACACTTTGTAGGTTAGAAGAAAAATAAACATGCACTTTAGTTGCGGAGCACAGTTTAAGGTTATAGACATGTGATGATTTCATCGAGAACTGCGTATGAACATATCTTGCAAAGCGAAAACACCAAATGCCAAGCGGGGTACAAAATATACCCCAGCCAACAAAATTGATTATAACTTAAAAAATATTACTTGTAAATGACCAATTACAATGCAATATGTTCACTAAGGTATTTTTCGAGGTTTTGATAAAAGGACAAAATGTTTAAAAAATTATTCGTCGAAATACATGTGATTTCGTGCGTGTGGGGTACATAATGTACCCTCCTTAGTAGCCTGAAGGTTAAGTCGAAAACATATAGCACACTCCATACTTAGGATTGACCGTTTCCGAGATATTTTGATTTTTAAGCAAAAATTGACAGATGCAGACTCCCAACAAAATTTAGTTTTTTCAGAAACACAGGTTTATTTTAATGTGCGAATAGGACATTTTGTAGAGGAAGATCTAATTTATCTTATTTGACATGAAAATTTTCCAGTTTTTATACAAGGTTGCCAAAAAAAATGATCGAATATGAAGTTCATAAAATGTGAAAAACTTGAAATTTTTAAATGGAAACCCCTAATTCTTTTTAACGTATTTGTATTTTGTACTAAAATTAAGTGTAACTTTCTTGAACTTTCCCTATATCTAAACCCAGTCGTTTTCATCTTATTTACGAATAAACATTTCCCTTTTCTTAAAATGGTGTTTCCATTTGTTTCGCATATTTTAAGTTGGTCGTGACAGGTAAGTAACAATCAACATGACAACCGTTGCAGGTTTATAATTATTGTCAAATTTATTTAAACAAATGTTTAAAATGTCTTCCTTCAACTTCTAAACATTTTTCACACCTGGTGATAGATGCTTAAATGCTTGCCATACTCTATGCATACAATTTTCCTTTGTTGTTACTGGAGTAGGTACTATATACACTATTCTTTAGTCTGCTAAATAAAATAGCATCACTGGATTCTATTAGAGCAGCGACTCGCAAGGAACTAATCCGAAGGTGTGAAAAATGTTTAGAAGTTGAAGGAAGATATTTTGAACATTTATTAAAATAAATTTGACAGTTATAAACCTGCGACGGTTGTCATGTTGATTGTTACATACCTGTCACGGTCAACCTAAAATATGCGAAACAAATGGTAACACCATTTTAGGAAAAGGGAAATGTTTATTCGTAAATAAAATGAAAACGACTGAGGGAAGCTTTAACAAAGTTACACTCAATTTTAGTGCATAATGTGAATACTTTAAAAAAATTGGGCATTTCCAAATAAAAAATTTCAAGTTTCCCACATTTTATGAACTTCTTGTTCGATCATTTCTTTTTACTACCTTGTATAAAAACTGGAAAATTTTCTTGTCAGATATGATAAATTAGAACTTTTTCTAAAAAATGTCCAATTCACACAAAAAAATAATCCTCTGTTTCTGGGAAGACTAAATTTTGCTGGCAGTCTGCATCTGTCAATTTTTGCCTAAAAATTAAAATATCACAGAAACGGTCAATCCTAAGTATGGAGTGTGCTATATGTTTTCAAGTAAAACATAAATGCAATAATAAACATGAGGTTTAAAAGAACTTAGGTATCGACTTCCGGTATAACCCGAAGTACGATGACCTTGAAAATATTTTAACTTGGTAGGCCCCACGGACCCTACCACAATTTAAAAAAGGTATATAGGTATACAATTTTGAATATTGTTAGTTATAGCGTTGAGTGAGAAATAGTAAACAGGGGAACCCTTACGTCAGATATAGTCTTCGTTACCATGTGCTTGAAATCTATATCGTTATCGGCTAGGTAAAAGACAGCTCTCTACTTGTCCATAAACTAGATCACTGGATACTCGCCAGGCGAGGCCGGCGTTGACTGAGAAATTGCCAACCGTGAAAAATACTGATAATTCGAGTTCAGGGATGGTTGAGGGCTCATTCGATTCGGAATGACGTCTCAAAAAATGTGCATAAAAATACTATTCGCAGATAAACAATTGTGAAAGTTATAAACAAATTTTTCCATTTCGTGAAAAATTACTCCGATCACCAGCCGATGAAACAAAATATTGTTTTAATGTAATCTTGATCTTATCGTTTTAATAATTTTTAATTTTACCAAAATTTAATTGCCGACTTGAAGGAAATAAAATTAATGTTCTAAACAAAATTACTGGTCACGTCACTTGTAATCATTTATGAAAGCTCTACTTATATTCAAAAGTTTTAAATTTTTTATCTCAGTAATAACTCAAATTTGAATATATTGTTTCATGTATTAAAAAAATGTACAATTTATTTGTAATAAACAGTTTTTTGTGATTAAAACAGGGTGGTTCAAGTTTTTGTTGGGAAACTTTAGAAGATAATGGAACACATATTTATAATTTCACTCCAATTAATTTAAAAGATTATATTTATTTGATACTGAAATCTTGCAGCCCTAAGTTAAATTTCTCCATATTATTCCATAACTTCTTAATTATTATTCCAGAAAAATATGCCTGTAACTAAAGTTACACCAGTTCAGTGAACAATGTGACGAATGGGCAGGATTTGCAAATCTGTTTGCAATCGCGTTCATGTCCATTTATTTGCAATTTATTCAACTGCATGGTAAGCTCATTTTATAATAAAAAAAATAACTCCAAAAAAGCTTTTTCTTCAAATAAAATGGGAATTTTTTTCTTAGAAATTAAAAACAACTGACTGCAAAAATTCTCAATAGTATCGAAGTTCTCCGTATTGCCGCCACTGCTTGACATATTTGTAAGTCAACGACGTGGTCAGTTTGTGTCACGTATTCTTAACCCTTTCGCTGCTTCAGACGTATTTATTCACTAAAAACTTATACGGCTCAAACTGCTCCAGACGGATTAATTTGCTTGAATAGTTAAATTGGATCAGGCTGCTCAAACCGTATACAGGGTGTCCCGAAATTCATGCAACAAAATTTGGTCATAGATTCTTAAGACAAATTTAAGGGACCAGTATTTTTTCTTTTTGCCAACTGGCCCCCTCTTTCGGAATTACAGCCCCCTGAAATCTGCCCCTAAGAAGTCGTTTTTATATCCCAAAACCATATTGTACGAGAATCACTAAATTTGGTACACAGGGGTTTTATGACGTGGAATCTCACAGTGCTACGCTTTTTGGCGAGAAACCCCCTTAAGACACTTTTTCATGGGCCCTCTTGTCTTTGGAACCAGAAAAATTTGGTCGCAAATTTGATTTTTTTAAAATTATTAGCTAGAAAGCCATTGAATTTAGAAATATTTTTGTCTCTTGATATTTGTTTCGTAAAATGCAATGTTTCTGAGGAAAATGGCAAATCACGATATGCATTCAATCACATTTTGACATTTTTCTCGAAAACATTGCATTTTACGAAAAAAGTATAAAGAGACAAGAAGATTCTAAATTTAATGGCTTTTTAGTGGACTGATAATTTTTAAGAAATTTAAATATGCGACTAAATTTTTTTGCCTCCAAAGACAAGGGGGCCCACGAAAAAGTGTCTTAAGGGGGTTTCTCGCCAAAAAGCGTAGCACTGTGAGATTCCACATGTCATAAAACCCCTGTGTACCAAATTTAGTGATTCTCGTACAACAGGGTTCTGAGATATAAAAAACAGATTATTCTTAGGGGCGGACTTCAGGGGGCTGTAACTCCCAAAGAGGGATCCACTTGGCAAAGATAAAAAATACAGGTTCCCTAAATTTGTCTTAAGAATCTGTGACCAAATTTTGTTGCATGAATTTCCGGACATATATATGTATATTCGCAACCATGCGCATAGTGACTCGGTTGTTGCAATTGGTATGGGGAATTTTTGCGGGCGGAGTTTATAGCGATTATGACAAATATTTTTATAGAAGGAGGTACTGGTCTGATTGTTCATCTCTCTTTCAGTTTCTATTTAGTACAGCTGTCGATATACTGTATTTTATTTAAAATAAAATCATAAAATTGATTGTAAATCGTAATTTAACACAACATAATGTAAAACTAAAAGTGGTCTAACTGCTCCAGACGTATATGTTCGCACACGATAAACTTTCGCGCACGGCGCGGTAGCTACGTTCAGACGTATTGCGCAGCGAAAGGGTTAAAGATATTTGAAAAAATGTGAATATTTTTTTGTCTTCAATGCCCTATATCTCGAAGACAAAAGACAAGAAGCTTTTTCCTTAAAATTGTATGTTCCATCACCTGATCAAGTTTCACGATTAAAATCTGAGCCGCGCTGTATATTGACTACATTTTATATAACCTTTATTTATAGAAAGCAAAAACCGTACGGGAAGCGCTAGAGGGTCTCGTCACAAAATATCAGTTGGAAGGCTTAACGTCTTCAAAAACAAATGAAGAAGTAGAGGCCTGGCAGCAAGTGATGTTAGACGAATTGCCCGTTATATTGGTATTACATTTGAAATGTTTCGATTTTAAATTGGACGGTTGTACGAAAATAATAAAAGCCTTGGAATTTCCGATAGACTTAAAAATTGATTCGAGTAAGAATTAGAAATTTATGGATAAGTGGCACATCGTTATTTGAAATTATTTTTTTTTAGAATTGTTGTCGTCAAAGACCCAAACAGCTAAAGAGAAACAATACAAGCTGTTCGCAGTAGTTTACCACGATGGTAAAGAGGCCACCAAGGGACATTATGTAACCGATGCATTTCACGTAGGCTATAGCAGTTGGTTAAGATATGACGACGCGTCCGTCAAACCTGTCCTAGAGGAGCATGTATTAAAGCCGCAAGGAACACGAGTTCCATATTTACTGTTCTATCGTCGTAGTGATACTATTAGAAGCAAATAAAAAAAACAAATTTGGCCTATCGATTGTTAATTATAAGTACTATTAAGCATCTTATTTTAATAAATAAAGTTTATACATAATTTTTAAGAGTATATTTGTGTACGAAAATCCTGCACCTGCTCTATTTTATGCCTCAAGTCAATGTGAAAATGAAGACTAAGTTATCCCAAATATTTTATTAGTGAATCTGTCTTTGTAGAACAAACACGAGAGTTAATAACTGTACAGGGTGTTCCAATTAAAACTTCCCACCTGGAAAATATCGGAATTAAAAAAAAACCTATG